TAAAAGAGAAAATATAAATATAAAATCAGTTTTATCTCGCTGAATTATACCTATATATTTAATTTAAAAAAAAAATAAAAAAAAATAAAAATTAATTAATATATTTATGTATGAATAAATTAATAGATTCGTTAATATTTATTCAATATTAATGAAATTTGATATATAATCATTTTAAAATCTACTGAACGTTCTTGTTTAATCTCAGAAAGGCTGTTTCATTTGACCAAAGTACCAGAATTCACCTTGAAAGAAAAAATCAAATAAAATAAAAAATAAAAAGAAATTAGTATATTTATAAAAAAAATAAATTGTTTCGTGAATATTTATTGAATACTAATAAAATTTGACACACAATCATTTCAATACCTCCTGAACAACTTTGTTTTAATCTAGTAAAGGCTGTTTCATTCGACCAAAGTACCAGAATTCACCTTGAAAGAAAATATTAAATAAAATAAAAAATAAAAAATAAAATAGTGTATTTATGAAAAAAATTGATAGTTTCGTGAATATTTATTAAATACTAATGAAATTTGACACACAATCATTTCGATACCTACTGAACAACTTTGTTTAATCTTGGAAAGGCTATTTCATTCGACCAAAGTACCAGAATCTACCTTCCAATAAAAAATTAAATAAAATAAAAAATAAAAAAGAAATTAGTGTATTTATGAAAAAAATTGATTGTTTCGTGAATATTTATTGAATACTAATGAAACTTGACACACAATCATTTCGATACTCACTGAACAACTTTTTTTAATCTCAGAAAGCCTGCTTCATTCGACCAAAGTACCAGAATTTACCTTCCAATAAAAAACTAAATAAAAAAAATAATAAAAAAAAAAATTAGTGTATTTATGAAAAAAAATGATAGTTTCGTGAATATTTATTCAATACTAATGAAATTTGATACACAATCATTTTGATACCTACTGAACAACTTTGTTTTAATCTTGGAATGTATTAATATAATTTTTTTTAAAATAGTAATTAAAAAAATAAAAATAAAAATGAAATTGAAAAAAATTTTTTTTGTAAATTTTTTTTTCTGTAATACAACATCTATACATTCCCTACCCAAAAGTATCTGACCACTCAAAAATTTCAAAAAAAACACGTATATTTTTTATTAAAATAATTTTCATCGAACTCTAATAAATAAATATAATATCTTTATGCAATTATGAATATTTCTCAACGCTTTATATATATGTTTTAACCAAAATAAAATGTTTAATATGTTGTATTTTTAAGCATCATTTTTAACTAAAGTAAATAAAAATTCACATGTCATTTTTTAAAAAAATATTATATGAACGTAAAACTTAATGTTATATTTATTTAAAATTTTAAATTCTAAATAATATTTTGAAAAAAAAAATCCAAAAAATATAATCTAATTTATGGCTAGCATATAGGTGAAATTTTTACTAAAAATTAAAAAAAAATTAATTAATGCATTAATTATTTAAGTATGTCAACATAAAAATTTTACTCAAAATGCTCATTAGTAACTGGTCGGAAAACCACGTGACTTTAAGACTGCTTTTACCCAGTTTTCCATACTACTAACTAGCTTTTGATAAATACTATTAAAAATTTGTGACCATGATTCCTGCAAAAACATTTCCAATTCATTTATATTTTTTGGATTTTTCTTTCTTAATCTGACATTACGTTCAAGTTCATCCCAAATATATTCGATGGAATTAAGGTCAAGATTTTGTCCCGGCCATAGTAAAATAATTATATTAGTTTCTTCCATGAAAGTTCGTATTTTCCTACTTGTGTGTATTGGTACATTATCCTGCTAGAAGAAATACTCACCATTTTCTTCTTCAAATTCCTCTAAGAATAGTATCACATAATAGCCCAATATTTCTTCTATATACCTTTCACTGTTAACTCGACTATTGATTCTTACCAAAGGACCCATGCCAAACCAAGAAAAGCACTCCCACATCATTACACTATTACCACCATGCTTTACTGTTGGAACAAGAACATTAACATTATATTTCTTTTTTGGAAGACGCTAAACATGAACTTTTCCATCATTTTGAAATAATGTAAATCTAGACTCATCACTCAAGATTACTTTCTTCCAATCATTTACTGTCCAGGAACACCTTTCTCGACATTACTTTAATCGAAACGCCTATTTGATTTGCTAATATATGGTTTTCTAAAAGCAATTCGACTATGATACCCTATTTCATAAAGTGTCCGTCGTATGGTATTATTACTTACTTTTTTTCCAGTTGAGTTTGCAAAATTTTCTTGTATTTTCTGTGCAGGTTCACGCCTTTTCTTACAAATAATAGCTTTTAGGTGTCATTTATCACGTTCAATCAGTTTTTTACGTCATTCACTTCGAAATGCAGAGGTAAAAACACCTCTTTTATTATATATCACAATAGTATTGTGAATAGTCATCTTTAGGTGACCTGTTTTTTCATATATTGCTCTTTCAGATAAACCAGCTTTATAGAAACTGATAATTATTCCACGTTCAGTAACTATGAGCTCTTTCTTTTTGATCATTTTTAAAGAATGTATAAAGAAAAAAAATTTTAACGAAACATGGTAAGAGTTTATAACAATCACCTGTTCATCATATGTTAGTTAATATTTTTTTAAGTTGCACAAATCTTGCGTAATTACCATAGATATATAAATTGCAGAGGTGATCGGATACTTTTGGATAGGGAGTGTACACAAAAATGTAACACAATAAAATGTAACGCAAAATGAAGGATCATCTAAAGAAATTATTTTGGTTTTTTTTTGATCTACAAAATTAAAATTCTTGAAAAAAGCTACTTTGTGATTGTTAAATTTAATATGACTCGAAAGTGCCACAGGAGTGTTTCTTTTACGATTCTATTCTAATGATTTCAAAGAAGTTATAGGCTTATTGCAATTGCGGAAATATATGAATATGATATACTAGTATATCATATATATACCTCATATATATATGCATAATGAATATGCATATATATATTATACAACGCAGATAAATTATTCGTGTCACAAATTCCCTAATTCGAAATATTTATTAATTAATTCATGTCAATCTGTACGACACACATCCCAATTAAGCGAAAAAGTTAGTAAATTTTGTAATGATCATCATCAATTTTTCACTCAATAACATCTCTTTGTTAATAAGTTATATATAAAGTAGAATAAAGAAAATAGTCAAAATGCAAAATACCACTATTTCAAAAATCATTTCTTCATAAAAATAAATCTGATTAGAATTTCTACTTTTGAGAATTGATTCCAATCCCTATTGGGATAGCTGAAAAGTTGAGTTGGAATATTATCCGAAATGGTCATTTAGAATCTGAATAAGCATTTGAGATATCCCAGCTCATTCAAACATTACATTATCACATTTGGGTATAACAGGTCCATTTTTTTAATTACATTTAAATCTCATAAATACTTCAACACGCTAATAAATTTTGAATTCTCTACAAATCATAATCCCGTCAGCTAGAATTTTTCACTCCAATGATACAAATGACATGACATTTATATATAAAACTAATTATTGATTACCAGTATGTTGAAAGAATCCTTTGTTTATTTTTTTTAACGTTATAAATTTATAATGTTTTAACATCAGCTAAATAATAAAAAAATATAAAACATTATTTTTCAGGTTATACCTCAATATTAAATATAGCCCTTTTTCTTCAATATGAAAGATATTGAATTACTGTATGTGGCTTGATATTTAATAATAACAATACGAAAAACTAATGACATTCATCTTTCACTTATGGAAATTCTTTTGATCTTTCTAATTTTAACCAAACAAAATGTTATGAAAGCTTTATACCTTTGGATTATCACAAATCTTCTATGCGAATGTTGAATTTACAATCCTGTATGTATATGTAAAATTTTCACAGTTTAGGAAATATCACTGACTTGTTTTTTCTCAAGTTTATTTGATTTGACCATTGAACAATGGTATAAAAACAAAAAAAATCTATATTGTTAATAGTTTTTTCAAAGATTTAGTATTTAATGGAAGAATGAAATTTAGAAACAAAGAAATAAAAATTGAAATTGTTCTTTAAAACTCAATTTAATATATGGGTCGTATGCTATTAAAATTAGGTTATGAGACATAGTAAATTATATGATCTGAACATGAGTTTTAATGGCATCATATATTATTGTTGCAGGATAAAAACTTCACATATGTAATACACGAGGAGTACATAAATTACGTGTGAATTTCAAATTAAATATTCACCTTTTATTGTCAACTCTTAATATAATAAATCCTAGGATCTGGATTTCAATTTCTTATAATATTATAATGAATATTTAAAGAAATTAATTGGCTGATTCATTATAACATCATATGTATTAATTTACATGCTTCAGAAGGATACTGAAATTTAGATATGTATATTTTTAAAAAAATGATTTGATTTGTGATGAGTTTCAGTAAGAACTATAAAATCTGTATCGAAATTAAAATTGTATTATCAATAAGTTGGTTTTTTTAGACCACATTGTAAGGAATTAACATTGTGGATAAATGAAATTTGGGTAATCCTTTTGAATTTGAATTATTATAAGGTGATTATCAAAAAATATTTTATCATTAAGAGTAATATATAAAGGGGGGTAGCAATTATTGGTTAGAACCTTTAGATAATAGCAGCATCATTATATTTTACATTTGAGTAACTTATTTTCATGTTTTTATATGAATGATCAGCAAAAAATAATGTGCATATAAAACGATTTAAAAAAATAAAAAAAATTTGATAGACAAAAACTCTTGCGCATGTCTAATTAAAAATTGTTAACATAATATATTAAAAATATGTCATCGAAAGAAATCACCAGTATGTATGACAAAAAATGTATATAAAAATATTTTTGCTTTATATAAATGCTTTTTTTTATAGTTGGAATCGATTTGGGATCGAATAATTCCTGTGTCGGAGTTTGGCGAAATGACAGAGTTTGAAATTATTACCAATGATCAGGGTAATCATACGACGCTTTCATATGTCACTTTCACTGAAACGGAACGTCTTATTGGAAATGCTGCTAAAAATCAAGCTAGCATGAACCCTCAGAATACAGTATTTAACACTAAACGTCTCATTAGTCATAGCTATAACGATCATGACATTAGAACCGATATGGAGGTAAACAATATTATTTTGATCGATTATCATTCCTATTTTTATTTTTATTTTAATTTTGATTTTATTTTTTATTTTTAATTAGCATTGGCCATTTAAAGTTATCGAAAAAAATGAAAGGCCATATATTCAAGTAGAATATAAAGGCGAAAAGAAGGATTTCACATCCGTAGAGATTTCTTCGATAATATTAATAAAAATGAAGGAAACCGCAGAATCTTTTCTCAATACGAAAGTTAGTAGTACTATGATTATGTGGCCAGCTTATTTCAATGATTCTCAACGTCAAGCAATAAAAGATGCCAGTAAAATTGCTAGGTTAAAGTTTTACGAATAATTAATGAGGCAACTGCAGCAGCCATTGCTTATAGTTTGGATAAGAAAGATGATGGAGAACGAAACGTCCTCATCTATGATCTAGGTGGTAGTTCTTTTGATGTTTCTCTTCTAACTATTGAAGAAGGAATTTTCGAAGTAAAATCTGTTGCTAGTAATACACACCTTGGTGGTTAAGATTTTGACAATCGACTTGTAAATCATTTCATACAAGAATTTGAACGTAAATTTAAAAAGAACCTTTCAACAAATGCACGATCTCTACAACTATTGAGAACTGCTTATAAACATGCTAAACGTAACCTTTCATCATCATTAAGATATTATATTAAAATAGATTTCCTCTTCGAGGGTATAAATTTTTATTTTGACTTAACACGAGCCAAATTTGAAAAATTGAATCAAGACTTATTTCGAAATACGATGGTACCTATTGAAAAGGTACTACGAGATTCTAAGATTGACAAAAGTCAAATTCATGAGATTGTCCTAGTTGGTGGTTCTACACGCATTCCAAAGATTCAACAAATGGTATCCGAATTTTTTGATGGTAAAAATACCAAATAGATCCATTAATTCCGATGAAGCCATAGCATATGGTGCAGCCGTTCAAGCTTCAGTTTTAGCTCGTGAAATTTCCGAAAAAACTCATAGTTTCCTTTTACTAGATGTTACTGCTTTATCACTTGGTATCGAAACTGCAGGTAGTTTTATGAAAATTTTATTAAGCGTAATACTAGATTACTTGTCAAAAAATCTGAAACCATTTCCACAAATTCTGTCAATCAACGACTTACGTATAAAAGTTTTTGAAGGTGAACATTTACAAACAATAGATAATAACTTTCTTGGAAAATTTAGACTAACTGAAATTCAACCGGCACCAAATGATATTCCACAAATTGAGTGAACCTTTGATATTGATGCAAACGGTATCTTGAATGCATGTATTAGTTATAAATAATTCGTTGTTACCATTGTCATATTTATCATTATAATTGTATTAACGCGAATTAAATGCAGATATCCGCTGTTGATAAAACAACTGGAAGATCGAAAAATGTAACCATCACAAATGATAAAGGTTGATTGTCAAGAGTAGAAGTCGCACATATAGGTATTGATCAAATTCTAGCCTTTGCAACAAAGTTTTTTTTATGCAATAATTATTTACTAACAAATTATATGTTTTAATAGTTACTGAAGCCAAGCGTTATCGTGAAGATGATGAGAGAGTTGCACAAACAATACAGGCATGAAACCGATTGGAAAGTTATGCGTTTAACTTGCGTAACTCACTTTATGTAGGTTTTTTTTGGCATTTTAATTATTATATATCTAATATTCTAATTCCAAATTATCCTCATTCAATAGGATCAGAAATGTGCTATTAAACTATTTGAAGACGAAATTCAAGAATCGATTACATGGCTTGAAAATAACAAATGTGCAGAACAGGAAGTATATGATTCTAAACTGAGGTCACTCGAACAAAGTGCCAGCCAATTAATGACGAGGCTTAATGTTGGTGGCAGTGTTAGAGGTGGTTTGTGCTAATATGTATTATAATACATCATTTTATGTAAATAGAAATAATAATTTTAGAAGAATGTTTTGGAAAAGATTAAAAACTACTATTGTAAGTTTATAATTTTCAAATAAAAAATCAAATTATCAGGTCTAACAAAAAAGAAATGATGCTTATGGAACCAATGAACCATAAGACTCTTCCCTCAGAAATGTCTGAATTACAAGTTTGAAACTTAAATTTAATTTTTTTTAACATCAGAATGATATCCTAAGTTTGTTTTGTGAATTATTTTCAAAATTTATTTTTATCGTTTTTTGGTGAATGGAACATCATCATCAAAAACTATTGTCATTTGTCATACTCACATATTTGACTTAAGAGTGATGATGTCATTTGAGATCATTTCAAGGTCATTTGTCAACACAGATTTGAAGATAAGCAACTTCAATACAATAAATTTTCTTTAAAGTAATAATGGAAGAAATTTTGCGAGAATAATAATTTTTGCGGTTTAGGTAAATTTCAGAAAAAATAAAAAATGCGTCATGCAATATCGCGTTATGTTAATGATACAGTATATTTATTTACTTTTTTATACTAAGTCAAATTATATAGATAAGCCGTTTTTCATGCATGTAAATTTCCCTTATGCACACGATTGCAATAAAAATATATATTGTAAACCAATTGGGATCAGAAGTAAGGTCTCATAAAACTAATTTAATTAATAAAGTTAGTAATTTTATAAACTTACTTTTGTATAATGGCTTGAAAAATTGAATATTATAATTAGATTCGAAAAAAAGTTCTAATGATTAATTTAATTTTTTTATCTAAATAAAAAAACAATGAACGTTTTTTTACTACAAAATACAAAAATAGAATATGTACGCTAGTTCGAGAGATAAATGCACTAAGGTATATCTACTTTTCCGTAATATAAATTTCATCATAGCTTGCTTTCTTTGTTACCCTCAAATCCTTAACTGCAGTCTGAAGATTGATCTCTGTCATTTATGTCGAAAACTGAAATTTCGGATTTTACGACAGTATGTACCCAACTAACTTATCAATACGATTTATCTAATCGGCCGTTTCTGACCTCAAGGATCAATTAATTTTCCATCTGCAATAGAATATATTTTAATGGAGTTCCGTAACAAAGCCATGGGAAGGAAAATTTGTTATAAAATCGCTTTGTTTACTTTTAATTTTCGATAGGATTGAATTGAAATTGTTCTTTTCTCTTAAGACCTATTACAGAACGTCGTTGATTATAGTTGAATTATTTGTTTATATATTATTTTTTTAATAAACTTATTTCTTTGTAAATCCATTTCGTTTTATCGATATTCGCCCAATTTCGTTTCGTTATATCATAACCAAAGCACGACTATAGCATTTTATATTATAGGTATTTAAATCATACCTAGTCTATAGTTTGACCATGGATTGTTGTGACAATCCATATTATACAGTATAATAACGGAAAGTTTTGATTGCATTACAAGCTATTTCTACATTGATAAGTAATTTTAGGACTTTTGATAATGTCGGGTAAGAAATGAACCCTGTTACAGCAACTGAAACTAAAAGGCTCAATTTCCAGATGCGTAGTCAGAGATGGCGATATTTGAACGATTTTCCTTATTTTTATTATACATTTAAGTAATTCCGTACAAAGCCATGTGAAGGAATACTTAGTTATAAAACAGCTTAATCCTGCTCGTTTCGATAGAATTAGAAATAGTCTTTTTCTAAAGATCTATTACAGAGCGCGGTAGAAGCAGTAATAGTGCATATATCATATTTATTTCACATTATTTAATATAATTTATTTTCTTTAATCGTTTCATAAAAACTTTAATTAAATTTATTTCGCTAAAATCAATTTACATGCTACTTTCGTTTATCGCAATTACATAAAATAAATCTATAACTACAACTAATTACCTCTCTTACGCAAATAGGATGTAACATAGCCCTTGAATATCTGGTCGCAGAAACTCGCAGAAGGTAATAAATAATAATGAGTAATCTCTTCATATTTTAAATTTGATAATCTAAAATATTATGGATTAAGAGATTTACAATGGTTGAATTAAAGAACTTCTGTTGAGTGGTCAACGATGGATAATTTAGGAGTCTTGCAGAACTGCATGAAAATTAATCAATGTAAGATCAAAATCTTTTATTATATGAATAATCTGATTTAATTGTTATTATCTATATGATTTATTTATTAGAACCGCATCATATCATATCATCTTGAATTTAAACTTTGAATAATTCATTTGATGGCTATCAAAAGAAAGTGCTATTAACTCACTTTGAGAGTTACTGCGATTCGTTCTTGAGATCTAACGCAACTTAATTTGACCAAACGTTGATAATACAAAAACAAATTCATGAACTTAATACGATATTTTCCACATCCGAGATAAAAACTAAAATAAAACAAACTGTACTCTACGGATAATGGTATGTAATTCCAAATTAAATATATTTTTACCATTTCTTGACATTACAAATAGTTTAAAATTTGAAGTATTTATTAAAGCACATATTATACTTCAATAAATACAACTAGACTTACAGTTTTAATCTTTTAATCTCAGTTTACTTTATTTTATATCGCTTATTAAATGTTTTCTTTTGAAGCTATTTACAATACTTAATTCCTTGCAATGTTTTATTCTAGGCGATAACCTATAGTTCGAATGGTAATAATCGATAAAGGTATTTTAGTTTTCTCTTCACATTTCTAATATTTTTATTCAAATAAAATAAGGACTTGTAAATAAGTGGTTTCTCAATATTGTTGTTCTTAATGATAATTAATAATTAATAATTAAATACGATTTCAGGTTTTTTCTCGTACCTTTACAAACTTTAGAAGTCTTCCTGGAGTAGGAATACGATCCAGAAAATTTAGAAGAGATTGATGTTAAATTGAAGCGATTGTCAGACAAGTTCATTGGATTACAATAAGGTAATTTAGGCATATTACTTTCATAAATTAAAATTTAATATCTTAAGTTAATAATGGCATCGATGGTTCAACTAGTCAAGAAATGTTAAAGAAGTTTGCTAGAACGGAGACTTTATATACGTAATGTCCACACATTAAACAGGAGTTATGTGAAATATGAGATGATGATTACAGATATCAATAATTAACATAATTATTATTTAACAAGTTGAAAATTTTTGACGATGTCTCTGAAGAAACCTTTCTATACTTTAGATGCCAATATTTATTACGACAATATAAGAGGAAATTACAGAAATTGACTTAGGAGGGAGTTTTTATGCGTTTAGAGAAATTAATCAATTATTGTTGTACATAAACCACAATGCGATGTGATTTCGTGAATTATGCAATTAGTGAAATAGAAATAGTACAATTTCAATAATTTGAATATAAAAGGACGTGCTTTTAAAAGGTTTGGGAAAGACACGTCCTACTAGCACGTTCTACTAGGCATCAAACTGAAGTACATTCAGCAACTTCTAAAACAAAACAATTCCGGAGAAGTATCTACTGATTGCGATTACCCAAGTCAAAGTGGAAGAAAATGTATATTTTATTAATTTTTATGATCGTTACTACATCTCATACCAACTAATTAAGGTTCGTCAATTGATAATATCATGATTTTGAGGCAGTTAGACCGTAAGTGTTGACATTCTTTGTAATTCTAGCAGCATTTCGTATGTTCATATTAGATTTTACAAATTTAGGTACGAATATCGATGTTTATAGAAGGTCTATTAATCTAATTAAACATATATAAGTTATTACCTCAACATCGACGCTCAGTAAGATCAGGAATATTATATTATATAAGTTCATTTCCGTTGCAATAAATAATTCTTCAAATTAAAATCTATGTTTGCATTCATTATTTAAATTTTACAGGGAATTTTTGGCTAAAGGTCAGACATGAATAGATGATTTATTGAGTAATAAATCAAAACGTTGCTTTTTCATTCATGTAACAAATTATCAAGCTGTCATTAAAATTGGATTCAAGCTTACGCAATTCAAACTCAAACTAAGCATTGGTCCTAGCTTTTTTCAAAAGTCAATCAATCGATTAATCAAGTCATGCAATTATTTGGAGAATTATTCGGTATTGACAAAATATAAGACATGAAGTATCGATACAATACTGATGAAAGATATAGTGGATGTTTCAGGATGTCAACAGGACTCAGCTGCGGACAACAATGATTTTGTCATGGGTATCATTTATCGATCCAAGATAAGAACTAGTCTAGCGATACCATACAAATATTAACTTTACATATCTTAGGAAGTTTGATAAATTTTTATTTATTTTTAAATAAGCCAATTAAAGAAGGTTTCGATTTTGTGGAAAGAGACTTTTTTTTCGGATTAAAAGCCTTCTAATGTCCTAATTAACGTGACTTTAACTTTGTCAAGGAGCCAAGCAATCTGATCACATGTACCAAAAATCACATGCCCTCGAAGCGATTAAGAAATCTAATAAAAATAACAAAGAGAAACGAACTATGTTTTATTTAGCGACTAAATAAATATATAAAATTAATAATCCAAGAAATGTCTTTTAAACCAGAAAAAAGGATACTAAAATAAAAATAAAAAAAATTAAACCATAAAGGCTACCTATAATTGATCCAAAAGATTAAATATTAAATAAAGAAAAAACAAACCATTCCAATCAAATCGAAAATTTAAAGATGATAATCCGGTCACTTGTATACGGGATAATTTTGTGTTAGGCTAAAATAATAAAATATAGTCACACACCTATTATAAATAATATTTAGTATGTGAAAAAATCTGCTTTTGTGTTATTATCAACTTTAATCAAGGCTAGCATTAGGTTTTGTTCAATAATACATAGATGATTAACTCAGGTAAGTTCTTATAAAGATCATTATTTCCAATGTCCTGAAATATATCAGTCAAAATTTCAATAAAACATTGTATGATTTGAACTTGGCGATCTACGCAATCAAATCATGACCAACCAAG